GAAAGTAATGCGTCGCATTTTTTTGTGACGTGATTATACGTCGCAGTGCGTTCGGACCGGTTGGGGAGAGTGGGGGGAACCCTTAGCTTTCCAATGGTTGGTCGGTCAATTGTCTCCGTGCGCTTGGAGGGTTAGGACGGCTTTTTTTGTGAACGTTTACGTAGTAGTCGCGTCGAACTTATGATGGAGAAAACTTTAGAGCAACGCTATGCGATAAAGTTTTGCGTGAAGCTGAAAAAGACGCCGCTTGAAACTTTTAAAATGCTTAAGGAAGCCTTCGGGGACGATTGCCTTTCCAGATCGCAGTCCAACAGATGGCACAAGATGTTTAGAGAAGGTCGGAAGGACATCACCGACGAGGCCCGCGCAGGACGCCCGTCAACATCGCGAACGGACGATCATGTGACTCGTGTGCGCCAGTTACTGAATTCAGACCGTCGAATGAGTGTTCGCTTGATGTCGGAATTATTGACCTTGCCGAAAACGGTTGTTCATGAGATTGTATCGGAAGACTTGGCCATGCGGAAGATTTGCGCAAAACTCGTGCCCAAAGTTTTGACCGATGCGCAAAAGCAACACCGAGTGGAAGTGTGTAGAGAACTCAAGGAACTCTGTGAACATGATCCCAATTTCCTGGACAACGTTATCACTGGGGATGAGTCATGGATCTTTGAGTACGATCCGGAGTCAAAGAAACAGAGTGCAGAATGGCACACGACGTCGTCGCCACGCCAGAAGAAGGCTCGCATGAGCAAGTCCCGGATGAAGTCCATGCTCATTGTTTTTTTTGATGCAAAGGGGATAGTGCACCATGAATTCGTACCTACTGGCCAGACCGTCAACGCTCAATTTTACAAGGAAGTGCTTCAGAGACTGAATCACAGGGTTGCCCGCGTTCGGAAGGAGATCCGCGCTTCGTGGAAACTCCATCACAATAACGCGCCGGCTCACACCGCCTTTGTTGTCACGGCCTACCTGACCAAGATCGGTGTGACAACGTTGTCGCAGCCACCCTACAGTCCCGACCTGGCCCCGGCGGACTTTTTTTTGTTTCCTCGGCTGAAAAGGAACCTCAAAGGAAAGCATCTCGAGTCGGTGGATAACGTGCAAGCTACTACGACGGCTTACCTGAAGAGCATCCCGCGTGAGGAGTTCCTGAAAGCATATGACGCATGGAAATCGCGTTGGCAAAAATGTATTGATGCAGAAGGGCCATACTTTGAAAAATTTTAAGTTGTTTAACCTATCTGATCAATAAATTTTTTTTTTTTAAATGCGACGCATTACTTTCCGGACAGACCCTGTATATATATATATATATAT